ACCTCTGTCCACGGAGGGTGGCGTCAAGAGAAGACCGCAAGAATTTACACTGACGGGGCACTGGCCCAGCAAGCCGAAATCGCGCTAAGAGCATCCTCGCGGGGGGTGCTGGAGGCAAGGGCCTCGGTGGCCAGATGTTTGCTCCGCTGCCCCCCCGGGCACGCTGCCCGCACGCTGGCGCAGTAAGCCTCAAAGGGGGCGCGGGTCCAATCAGGCGCCCTGTCAGCTGGCGGGTTCAGCAGGCGGGGGCGGGAGGTCTATCTCCCCAGGGTGCGTTCCAGGCTCGTGGAATTTGTGCCCGCACGCGGTCTCCACAAAGCATTGTCCCCCGGTAGGTCCAGGGGCGTTTTTTTGGGGGGAGGGCGCAGACACTGCCGGAGCGCGGGGAGTGGTGTTTTGCAGGCCGGGGGCCCGCCACAGCAACAAAACAGGGCTTTGGGTTTCCCTGCGGAGGGAGCCTGCTGGCAGGGCCCACGGAAGCGCGCCGACTTCACACCCAGCCTTCCACTCACCCAGGTGTTGGGGGGGGGCGCTGAAGGAGGGAGTGCCGGTCGGCGCAAGGTTCGGCAGCGCTGGCCTCGCTCAGGAGTGGGGTCCGCGCTGGACCTCGGAGCAGGGGCTGCGGACCAAGGTCCTCGGGCCGGGACTCCACGGACGGTCGTGCGGGAGGCGTGCCCCTGGGCACGACCGCGCAAGCGACCTCGTGCAGCAATAGCAGCAGCAGCGGGAATACGAAGGAAAGTAAGGAGGGAAGGTACGCAGTTGTCTTCAGGGGTGCCCGGAACTAGCGCGCACCCCCCCGATCGTTTTCTTCCCCTCCCGAGTCTCCCGGATCCCTTAATCCATGCATGCTCTGTGTCATAGTTTTTTTTGTTTCTTTCGTTTTTTTGTTTCTCTCTCTCTCTCTCTCCCCTCCACGGCCCCACCACCTCTGGGCCCGACCGCGCAAGCGACCTCGTGCAGCAACAACGTAAAAACGACGGGAGGTATGAAGGGAAGGTGGGCACTAGAAGTGATCGGAGGATGTCCTCAGCCTGGGGCCGACGCGGGGCCACAGGCCCCCGTGGGCCAGCCTAGCTTCCGCAGGCGCCCCACCCCCTCGCATTGAACAGAACCAGCAGCAATGTCAGCGCACTGACAGGTGCGCAGCTCTATTTCGGGCGCGTAGGGCGCACGCGCCTGTTGGCACCCGAACTGTTGCCCAAGTCGTTCGCTCGGTCCTCCTCCTCTTCCTCCTCCTCCTCCTCCTCCCCTCCTCCTCCTCCTCCTCCCCTCCTCCTCCTCCCCCTCCTCCTCTTGACCGTCATGCCCATCCCTCTTTCCTCGCTCCCTCTCTTCCTCTTCCTCTCCCTCCTCCTCTTCCTCCTCCTCTTCCTCCTCCTCATCCTCTTCCTCCTCCTCATCCTCTCCCTCCTCCTCTTCCTCCTCCTCTTCCTCCTCCTCCCTCCTCCTCTTCCTCCTCGTCCGGGTGATGGCCGCGCACCCTCCGCGTACTGTTTTTTTCCACACAGGATGCCCGGGAAATCCCGGGAAACGACTCTCGCTGAGGCGCCGGCGTCATTTTTTCCTAAAATGCTGCTCTCGTTGAGGCGCCGGCCTCATTTCTGCTCCCGAATCGTTCCGAATCGTGCTCCCGCTGCAGCGTGGGCCTCATTTTCGGATCGGTGTTTGGCCTCCGTCGTTCAGGATGGCGTTCTCGCCCCAGCGCGGGCCTTTTTCTCGCGCGCCCATCCGCCCGCCACCACCGCGCCGCACCGCCACCACCACCACCACCACCACCACCACCACCACCACCACCACCACCACCACCACACCACCACCAGCACCAGCACCACCACCACCAGCACCACCACCACCACCCACCACCACCACCACCACCACCACCACCACCACCACCACCACCAACCACCACCAGCACCACCACCACCACCACCACCCACCACCACCACCAGCACCACCACCACCACCACACACCACCACCCACCACCACCACCACCACACCACAACGACAACCACGCACACACGCACGCACGCACGCACGTGCACCACCACCCACTACGCACGCGCGCGCGGAGCCACAGGTCCGCTACGACACGCGTCCGCGGATAGAGAAAATCAGCGCCATGGTAAGGAATGGGAGGGAGGGGTAGGACGTCAGATATGACGCGAGCGCACCTAGCTTGTCCTCCTCCCCTCCTCCTCCTCCTCCTCCGCCTCCTCCTCCTCCTCTTGACCGTCATGCCCATCCCTCTTTCCTCGCTCCCTCTCTTCCTCTTCCTCTCCCTCCTCCTCTTCCTCCTCATCATCCTCTTCCTCCTCCTTTTCCTCCTCCGCCTTCTCCTCCTCATCCTCTTCCTTCTCCCCCTCCTCCTCCTCCTCCTCCTCCTCCTCCTCCTCCTCCTCCTCCTCCTCCTCTTCCTCGTGCTCCTTCGCAGCGGGTTGCGCATGCCAGCGGGTTGAACTGTGTTACTTGGTTGCGGTTGCGGTTGCGGTTGCGTTAGCTGGTGGGTTAAAATGTGTCGCACGTTTACGGTTGCCGTTGCGCCCGCGGGCAAGGTGAAATGTGTCGCTTAGTTGCGTTTGCTGTGGCGCCCGTGGGCGGGTTGAAATGTGTCGCTTGGTTTCGGTTGCGGTTGTGGTTGCGTCCGCGGGCAGGTTGAAATGTGTCGTTTGGTTGCGGTTCCGGTTGCGGCCGCGGGAAGATTGAAATGTGTTCAACACATTTCAGTCTTCCCGTCCAGTGTCAAAAGTGCCCGTCCAACGGGTTCTTTTGACAATGTCAAAAGTACCCGTCCAATTCAGCCAGTCCACTTCTGTCGGTCAGTCAGTCCAGTTCAGTCGGTCGGTTCAGTCGGTTACGGTTTCGGTTGCAGTTGCGATTGTGCCCGCGGGCAGGTGAGAATATGTAGTCATCATGGCGCCAACATCGCAGAGTGGATTTCGTTCAGTCCGGTTCAGTCGGTCGGTTCAGTCGGTTGCGGTTGCGGTTGCGGAGGCGCCCCAGGGCGGGTTGACATGTGTCGCCTGGTTGCGTTTGCGGTTGCGCCCGCGGGCGGGCTAAATTATGTCGTTTGGTTGGGGCCGCGCGCAGGATGAAAGGTGACGTTTGGTTGTGGAGGCGGTTGCGCCTGTTTGCGGGTTGAAATGTATCGTTTGCTTGCGGTTGTGGGTGCGGTTGCGCCCGCAGGCGGGTTGAAATGTGTCGCCTGGTTACGGTTGTGGTTGCGGTTGCACCCGCGGGCAGGTTGAAATATGTCGCTTGGTAGCGGGTTGAATTGCGTCGCGTGATTGTGGGTGTTGTTGCGCCCGCGGGAGGGTTGAAAGTTGTCGCTTGCTTGTGGTTGCGGTCGCGGTTGCCCCATTCCCTTCCTGGAGCCTCCCCAGGGCGTCCCAAGACCTTCCCCGGAGCCTTCCCCGAAGCCCCAGATCCGCGGCAGAAGTTCTTGACGTCCCAGATGGTTTCCAGATTGTTCCAGGGCAGTCCAAAATTGCCTCATGATGGCCCCAGAGGTTTCCAGGATGCCCCAAGACGGCGCACTCCTTTTCTACCCCTTCCTCCACCTTCCCTTCCTCCCCCTCCTGCCCGCATGCCCACACCGAAGCCGCTCACACAGCACCGGCCGACCATCGCGTGCGTGGGCGACAACCGAGAGATCTATTCGTCAGATGGCGCATCAGTCGGACCATAATTACCTCCTGCTGAGACCTGCCATGCAGAACTACGCCTCTGTTTTTTTCGCGGGAGGTATCCCAATGACAAGCTGAGCTCAATAATTTCTATTTCGTTGAATATTCATGTGGCCGTGTGTGATCAGTCGAGCATCGCAAAACAAAATGAACCCAGCGCTTCTTCGCCCCGCACATGCAGGCGATGCTGGATGCATCGCACTCGGTGGCCGTCAGGTGGCCCAGGCGTGATTCGGGGTAAGCAGTTGCACCTGCATGCATGTCAGGGCCTCCTGAACGTCTCTCGATTGCGGCTTCGGGAAAGACTTGCGGTGGTAGTCGCGGTGTAACGCGCGACAGATCCCCAGAGAGGCTCAGTGCCCGCGAAGGTTCCGATATCCCACGGGAAATGAAAGCATGTAAACTTGCAAGTGGTATGCGGGTGGACGGCGGTTCCTTTTCAAAATGTAACACTCGCTAGATGCTTGCCTCACACATCTGGTCAGAAGTGTCAACGTATTGCGCACGCGAATCCATTGTAGGGCAGGGCGGCTACACTGTTTGTCCAAATCGGGGCGATCGCCTGACACTTTCTCGAAGCGTATAACTTTGCGTCCGCCGCCTGGGAAGCCGATCTTCCTGGACCTCGGCAGTGGGTGAATGTCGATATCTCGGCGCGCCGTTTGCTTCGTCGCGCGGCCTCCCGTCTTTGAGAGAGCGCCGCGGCTACCTGGGCGAACTCCGCCTCAGACGCAAGGTCTGAAGTGTGGTTTGCAGAGGTGCCGGCTTCGTCTGCTTGGACGCATTCAGAGCACACGGCGCGGCGATATCTGTCCTGCCCCCCTTGAGGCCAAGAGGAATCCGTGACAATTGCCTCCCTGGGGTCCCAGAGGACATCAGTTCCCCAGGCGGTGGATCTGGACAAATTCCCGTCTCGCAATTGGGACGAGTGTGGTCTGCCTCATCCTGAGCCTGGCGCCGCCGGGCGTCAATCCTACAAGTCCGCGCGGGCCTCAGAAAGTTATGGCTCCAGTTCTATGCTCGCCGTCCTCCTCGTCCTCGCCAGGCGCCAATTCCATGAATCCGCGCGGGCCTCCAGAAGTTTATGTGTATGCAGCCTGGTCCAGTTATATGGTCGCCCTTCTCCTCCGCCTACTCCTCCCTCTTCCCCGGCCCGTGCGCCCAAGGCAACGGGTGTCCCCTGCTGTCAGTTCCTCGGCTTATCCATCACTCGCCGGAGGGAGCTGTTCAATGGTTGCCCACTCGCAGACCTGGCAGTTTGGTCCGTGATCTTCCTCCTCGTCCTCCTCATTCCTCCTCGTCCTCCTGGGCAGGCGAGGAGGCTGCGCAGCACCATCGATCGCCGCAGGAAGCTGGCGGGCGCAGGCAGCGACGGCGAGCAGCCCATCGCCAGCCGCCTAGCGTGCGCGCGCGCGCCGCGGCTCTCTGGCGTGGCGACCCCTCCTCTCGGGTCTGGCATTAAGTCGGGCCTGTCCCTCCACGGGAGGAGTATTCAAAAATAGTCAAACATCGTATGGGGACCATTTTTCGATTTCCTTGTACGTGTGAGCATTTGGGGTGTATTTTTAATTTCTCGTCCACGGCTTCTCTGAGATCCTGGCGTTGCAGATGTTTCACAACGGGCGTTGGCGTCTGGCTCCGGGCCCAGGGACCCGCACAGATCGATCGGGCTCGAACAAGGGGGTCTGGGGCTCTGGTCGCGATGTTTCGCGATGCTCTGGATCGTTCTGCAAAGTCAGATCTGAGGGTTGCACACAGACCCCCACGTCAATGTTTCCCTAGGTCGGGCATGTCTCCCATGCAGGCGAATTTGGGAGGAACATTTGTTTAGAAAATCATCAAAACTTTCAAAAAACCTTTCCCAGAATTGTTTGATACTATGTTTGGATATTCCTCCTGTAGAGGGACACGCCCGGCTTAAATGCGGCCCTGGCTGGCCCCATCAGGCCCCCCGAGTAGCCCCAGCTGGCCTCCACAAACGCCCCGAGTAGCCTCTGTTGGCCTCAGCGGGCCAGCTGGGACTGCTTGGCGGGGGCTGCTTTGCGCAATCCGAAGCTTTGCCATTAAGTCGTGCATGTGCTTCTACAGGAGGAATGTTCGAAGATGGTAAAAAAATGGTCTGGTCTGGGGACGGTTTTTAGTATGCTTTGACTATTTGGCTTGTATGTTTGAGTATTTTGAAATCTTTGCCCAAAATTCGCCTGTAGGGGGACATGCCCGACCTAACCTTACCACTCCCTCCCCTCGGGTCGATCCATCGTTTGCATGGTCGGGGCGGCAACCGCTTCGCAATCGAAGTGGAGCTCGATCCACGGTTTGTGTGGTCGGCGCTGCAGCCGCTTCGCAATCGGAGTTGCAGAAGACGGGTCCCGCATCATGTTTGTCTTGCGTGCCGGCGCCGTCTCCAGTCTCCAGCCTGATCTCTTCGGACGTCTCCCACTCCTCTCTCCCTCCCATCTGCCTCCCTTTCCCTCCCCCTCCTGTCCCCTCCCCGTCCAGCTGTCCCATCTATTGCCTCCCCCGCTCCTCCCTCGACCAAGTCCCCAATCATATCCTCCCTCCCCCTTCGAAATCTACCTCACCCTCACCCGCCTCCGCTCCTCTTGTTGTGTCGTCTCCTTTTCATCCTTTCGTTGCTTGGAGTTTTCTCCGGGAGTCTCGGCTTTACGAGGTCAAGGTTGGGCTGCGTTCCTTATTCTTCCTTCCGTCTAGCAAGACTTCCACCGTCGGAAGGGGTGTTGCTTTGAATTCGATGCAAGACTTTTGAGTTCACGCCGCAGAGGTATCCCCGTCATACCGGCGAGCAGGGCGAGCAAAATGCAATGCTCTCGGCCGCGATCATATTGGTCGGACGAATTCACAGGAGAGGGCGGCTCCCGATGCATCAGCCGCAACTGCCTCGTCGTGTCAGCCAATTCGGAGGGGGGGACGAGGAGGGGGGAGGAGAGTGGGAAAAGAGGAGGAGAAGGATCGCACCGAAAGCTCATGTGCGAGCAGGCGCGGACCGAGGGGGTACATTTAAGTCGGGCCTGTCCCTCTACAGGAGGAATACCCAAAATTAGTGAAAAATAGCCTGTGGACGATTTTTTGTTCGTTTTTTGTTGTATCAATTTGGAATATTTGTGGTGTAGTTCTCATTTTTCATTCAAGACCCACCTGTAGGGGGGACACGCCCGACCTAAGGGTACATATTAGAGCGTGCATTTGACAAGGAGGTGCGGGAAGGTTTCGGACGGGACGTGAGACGCGGGAACGCCGAAATCGTAGCAGGTTTCCAGTCCCCCTGCCTGGTCCGTCCCTGACACTCTGCCAGCACTGTTGTCAAACATGTTGCTCGTAGATGCTAGTATTGTCGTTACGTGTGCAGGCGATGTTGAGATTTCATCTCCCCTCCCCCCTCCGCCCCACCCCCCGAAAGTTCTCGTGGAAAGTTCTCGCGAATTTGTTGCTTTGAGCCACCTGCTTCCAGGTTCCGACGGGAATTGACAAGAAGGTTTGCTCTGCTCCAGAGCGGCAGCTCATACATCGATTTGCTTTTTTCCACCAGCTCATCCGGGAGTTTGGTAAAATCTATGGGCCGCTGCACGCCAGTTGATGCATTCCACGTTCGCGGGGCGGGAGCGAGACCCCTCCGCCATTGTGTATGACGTTTGTCCTTACGCGGGCGTTGCAAAGTCGTGCGCTTGAGAGCAGGAGCAGCAAACTCAGCAGCAGCGGAGAAGCGCACCTAAGGTCCTTCACTACGAGCGCATTCTGGCTGATGTGGAACGCCAGCTCAAGGACATGCGCGGCCAACTCCAGGACATGCGTGCCGAAGGCATCGGGTCTCGCCGCAGCCTGGATACCGCTCATTGGGCATATTTGTTTCCTAGCAGGCGCCCCTTCGGATTATTTCAACTCGTAGGTCCAGGGCTACCTCAAAATATCCATGCTGGACAGAGGGCTCTTGAAACTTGGCGCACGGACGGATGGGAGGCGGAGGTGGGGGTGGGTCGGATGCGAGGAGACGGAGCGGGGTGGAAGAAGACGAGGATGAGGAGAGCGGTCGGTAATTAGTTTAGGAGCATGTTCACGAAGGCTGAGATGTTTCCAAAGTGCTTGTGTCGGGAAGTGCCTTTAAGGCTTTGTTGTTTGTTTTAGTCTGCGCAGCTAGGGTATGAAAACGACAGGTCGGCGGGCCACAGGGGATCGAGGAGTGTTTGAAAGCAGCATCACATGTTGTTTCAACACGATTGATCGGGTGCCAGCGATGACAGACAGACTTGCAAAACAGCAGTGTGCTGTTCACAGCTTGCATGGGTCTTTTCGATTTTCTCCCTGCTGCACTAGAACATGCATGTTCAGCAGCCTGGCTTATGCGAGTCCGAACAATTTAGTCTAGGCATCATGATTGATTACTACACTTGTTCCGACATGCTTGGTCAACACGATTGCCGAACGTATTTGAAATCATTTTGGTGATTGAGTTGTGTGTATGTGTGTTCGCCCCTATGTCGTTTGTTCAATGTTTCAAACGTGTTCCCATTGTTTTTGCGCTTGTCCACCGTTCGATGTGTATGAGCCTGGGCACGCACGTGCGACTTGAATGTGAACGCAGTGCTTGCGCATATACATATTATTCACGCTTCGCGTATCCCGCCAGCCCCCTTCAAAAACCCTGCCTATGAGAGTTGCTGGGGGAACTGGACGAGGGGACACATGTAGTGAAACACAGCGGGCAACCTGGGTGGACAGAGATATCTGGGAGCAAGGGTGTGGTCTTAGAGGGCCTCTTCGGTCTTGGGACCATCCCGGGGGCCCGCGTGGGGGCAAGGGCGACCCACCCCGCGACCCACCCCCAACCCACGCGCGACCCACCCACGACCCACCCCGCGCCTGGCCCGTCACTCTCATCTGAAGCTGCGGGCTGGTAGGTTTAAGTCGGGCCTGTCCCTCTACAGGGGGATATTCAAAAATAGTCAAAAAAAATAGTCAGGGGACAATGTTTTATGATCTTTCACCATTTTGGAATATTTCTTGAGTATTCTCATTTCTCGCCGACAATCCCCTTGTGGGGGGGCAGGCCCGACTTAATGCCAGGTGCAACAACGGGCTCCTGAGCCTTGTCCCCCGCCATCCCCCCGCGTCGCCGTTTTCGTCGTCGTCGGCGCACTCGTCGGCGCCGGGCGCGCGGCGTCGTCGCCGTCGTCGGCGCCGGGCGCCGGGCGCCGGGCGCCAAGCGAAGGGCGTCGTCGCCGTCGTCGTCGTCGTCGTCGTCGCCGGCGCCGGCGGCGCTAGCGGCGGCGGCGGCGGCCGCGCGCGGAGAGGCCATGCGGAGCCCGCGGGCGCCCACGTCGGGGCGGAGGCCTTGCCGCCCATGGTGGCCGGGCGCTCAGCCTCGGCCGCGCCGCTGATGCCTTCCCCCGCTTCCCCCGCCTTCCCCCGCCTTCCCCCGCCGCTGATGCCTTCAGGGTGCTCCGGGTTTCCCCTCAGCGCGGATTTTCAGGGTTGGGGTTCTTGCGAGGGTTTTTGCGGCCGCGCCCTCACTGTATTCTGTTCCTCGGACTTCCTGCCTCGGGGTGCGTTCCAGCACCTGTGCCTCGCCGAGAGCGTTCTGGGGGGCCCAGATCTTCACGAACCGCCGCCAGAGATTTGAGTTTGGGCCAGGCTTGGCCCGTGTTCGACCCATGAGCGACGTTCTCCTTTAGGCCTCCCAGATGGGGCCCGAGTTCGTGGGGTGGGAGGATCGCGCCGCATCGCCGATGCAGCGGCGATGCAGCTCGATGTGGAGCCCGATGTCCTCCACGCCCGCGTCGCCGATGCGTCGTCGACGTCGCCGAAGCATCGGTGATGCAACTATCGACGATGCGGCGCGATCTCCCGACCCCGTCTACTCTACTCCATCCCAATCTGGGAAGCCTCCCTCTTCGCAGCTATCAAACGTGCCGCCGTGTGGGCGTAGAAATCTGCAGCCCATCCAGGTTGTCTCAGCGTGTCGCATTCCAACAGGCGCGGTGGGCATCTTGCCGCAGAGCGTGCGCTCATGCGAGGACTTCGACACTGCATTGAGGAGAGATTTGAGGGGCGTTGATAAAACAAGTCAACTATCAAACGTCTTGAAACAACTCCGGACGAAGGTTTTCCACAACCTTCGGCCGCTGGGGGCCATCGCCGGGCCATGGGACAAGAAGCTGGTCCCAGGGTTAACGGGTTGAGACCTCCGGGGAGTGGGTCGAAGCCTCCCGTCGAGGCCTCCAGGAATGTTCAAGACCAGACTTAAGTCGGGCCTGTCAATTTACAGGGGGAATATTCAAAAATGGTCAGAAAATTGTCAGGGGATTATTTGTTGAGTATGTTTGGGCAGTTTTTCAACATTTTTTGAGTATTTGTTATTCTTCGTCCAACATCCCCCTGTAGGGGGACAGGCCCGACTTAAGACCAGACATCGGATCTCTGGGTTCCTCCTCTTCCTCGGACCCCAGTCGAGGTACGAGCATTGCGGATCCAGGGTCGAGGTTCGAGTGTTGAGCATCGACCTCTTCTTGCCTCCCCACCCGTTCCTGCCCCTCTTCCTCCTCCCCCTCCCACTATGGAGCAATAGTGAAGGGCACCCGGATCGGCCCAATGTGCCAGACGATGGCGCATGGAGGCTATCAGTGGCACATCGATGGCAAGATGCATCGCCCAGGCGATCGCTGCGTAGGGTATCATATCTCGAGGTTGGACAACTTAATCAATCCCTGCGTGGCTTGGAGTGAAGAGCCGATCGGGAATGGGATCTTGACGACCGGGTGCATGTGTTTTGGAATCTGCATTCACCATGGCTGTCCAGGCGTCAGTGTGCACAGCGACGGCGGTCTGGAGACGTTCCATGGCGCTTGCGGTTGGGCGCAGCTCGAGGTGGAAGTGCGCGACACGACCAGGCTTACATATGGCCGCATAAACAGGCATTGGGTCAGGGCCCCCGCGTTCGAGACATGTGAGAATGTACTTATGAAAGCTCTGTGGGTGCCACTGCGGGAGTTGCCAAGCATGGTTGTGTTGAGCTGAGTGATTTGCTTCCGCGTTGGAATTGCGACAACCTCAACGTCCTGTTGCACTTTGCATGCGTTCAGCTTGCATCAGTGATTTGCTTCTCCATGGGACTAGGGACAGCCTCGACATCAATAAATTTCGAGACGGCCCCGAGAAGCCATGAAAATATGCTGCCGCCGCCGCATCCCGGCGCAGGAGGAGCCAAGACCCGTTGAAGATCTATTGGGGGTCCCGAAACGGCGCGGCGAGGCGCTGGGCGGCGACCCCGGGATTTTTTTGGCCAGGCAAGGTTTCAATTCAAGGCCCTTCCAGAAGGGTCCGCGGCGGGTTTCGCGCGAATCCCATCCTGCGCCCGCGAGCGACAAGGGGGTCCACAGCAAATCAGGAAGTCCCGAATCAATCTGCTACCACTGGCGCTGCTATACCTCGCCCTCCGTCGTAGCGGCGGCCACGCCCTGAAAGCCCACCGCGGCACCTGCGCGAGAGGAACATCACCGCTCCAAAACGCTAGCGGCACTGAGCTGCCGATTTTTCCGTGGACGCACGCAACCGAAAATTGCAGCGAAACGTTGGCCACAAACCTGCTGCGCCACGGCACGCGCGGCGCCAGCCGCGGGGGGGGGGGAGGGCGAAAGGTTGAATGGCGAAATGTTGCACCTCGTGCTGCGATCTGGCGCTTAGCTTCCCTCGCCCTGACCTCGCGCAAACGCCGCCCGACGGATGCCGACCCCGGCGCGGCGAACGCCGCACCTGCAACGCGGCGTATTCAACATGTTGGAGTATACAAGAATACCGTCTCAGTTTCATCCAGTAACTCCTGTCGGGGGGCCGCGCCGCGCTGACCCGACTCCGACCCGGGGGGGGCCAGCGACGCGGAGCGCGGCAGCGGCTAGCGACCGCGATGGGCGAGGCGGGCTCTGGCCAGGACGGGGGCCGGGACAGGGCGGCCACGAAATCCCGGAAATACGTCGATCTCCAGAGGTCTCGCCCCATTCCCTGGGACCAGCTTCTCATCCCGAGTCGTTTTGTTGACGGCCCCGAGGCCCGGCGAGGGCCCCCCAGGCGCCGAGAAGGGCAAACAAAAACCTCCTGTTCCGATTTGTTCTTTGCTCAAGGGGGTCTGGGCTCTCCGACGTCACCTCGGCGGAACCCTCCTTGGGGCCCTCCTCGGCCCGCGCGGCCGGCCCTCCTCGTGGGCCCTCCTGCCAGTGCCGCCGCTCCTCCTCCTCCTCCTCCTCCTCCTCCTCCTCCTCCTCCTCCTCCTCCTCCTCCTCCTCCTCCTCCTCCTCATCCTCATCCTCATCCTCATCCTCATCCTCATCCTCATCCTCATCCCCCTCTCCTCCCCTCCTCCTCCTCCTCCTCCTTCTCCTCCTCCTCCTCCTCCTCCTCCTCCTCCTCCTCCTCCTCTCTCTCCTCTCCTCCTCCTCCTCCTCCTCCTCCTCCTCCTCCTCCTCCTCCTCCTCCTCTCTCTCTCCCATCCCAGGGTGGACGAGCCCCCGCGGAGTCCACAACATGCAACGTCCTCTGCTCGCCCAGGGCCTCCATGTGCGGTCCCGCCGCCTGGCGCCCACTATGTCCGCGGCCAAGACCGCGACCTCGCCAGAGCCCCGCCTCGGGGCGGACCGCGCACCGCGGCGGCGCGCGCACACGGGACCAGCAGGGCGGCGCTGTTGACGCCTCTCTGGCTCACACGCTGCCTTCTCGCACACGCTTGCTACGCTTATCTCACACACGTGTACCACAATTCTTGATGCACAAGAGAAGGAAAAATCGTAATCCGTAGAAGGAGGAATCTCTTCAGGGGTGCAGTTGATACTCAAGGGCCTCGAGCTGGGCCAGGACGTCTGCGAGCCGCGCCGCCTCCCCAGGATGTTCCCACTGGGTCACTTCCGTAACCCGATTGAAGTAATATGTGTTGCCCGAGCTCGCATCCACCGCCGACTCCCAACCGAGGGGGAGCTGTAGCTGTTCAGTCGGATACGGGACGTCGGCCTGGTCATCGTTGGCCAGCTGCTCCGTGGCCCCCTCAGAACTGGCAAGAGACGGCTCTCTGGAGGGCCAGGGCGTAGGGCGGCGGAAACGGAGCCGACAGTGCCCCACAAGTGGCTCTTCTCGCACGCGCTGACTTTGGGGGTGTAGTTGATGATGCTCATTGCCAACTTTAGGCGCCCCTGCGTGCAGCTTCTCGCAATCCAAACTATTAACGTTTGGCTCCACTGCCTGCACCTTCTCGCACGCTTGGTGAGCGGGCTCTGCACCTAATGCCGTAGCTGGCTCTTCTCGCACGCGCTGACTTATGGGCTGTAGCTGATGATGGCTATGCCCATCTTTAGGCGCCCCTGTCTGCAGCTTCTGGTGATCCAAACTAATATCGTTGGGCTCCACTGCCCACCTTATCGCACGCGCGGTGGTCGGGCTCTGCACCTGATGCCACAGCTAGCTCGTCTCGCACGCGCTGACTCTGCGACTGCAGTTGATGATACATGCTCCCATCTCTAGGCGCCACTGCCTGCAGCTTCTCGCAATCCAAGCTAATGACTTTGGGCTCCACTGCCTGGCCCTCCTCGCACGCTCGGTGAGCGGGTTCTGCACCTGATACCACATCCAGTGTGTCTCGCGCCTCCAGCTCCTCGTCGCTTGACGGTGCTTCGTACAACTGTTCGAAAAATGCCGTATCGAGATCATCCTGCACGGCTTTCTCAACCACTGCCTGCAGCTTCTCGCAATCCGAACTAATGACGTTGGGCACCACTGCCTGCACCTTCTCGCATGCTCGGTGGGCGGGCTCTGCATCTGATGCCACAGCTGACTCTTCTCGCACGCGCTGACTTTGGGGCTGTAGTTGATGATGACTGTATCCAACTTTGGGCGCCACTGCCTGCAGCTTCTCGCAATCCAATCTGACGACATTGGGCTCCACTGCCTGCACCTTCTCGCATTCTCGGTGAGCGGGTTCTGCACCTGATACCACACCAGATGCCATAGCGATCCCTTCTCGCACGCTCTGACTCTGTGACTGTAGTTGATGATGCATGTTCCCGGCTGAGGGCTCCACTGCCTGCAGTTTCTCGCAAACCAAGCTAATGACTTTGGGCTCCAGTGCATGGCCCTCCTCGCACTCTCGGTGAGCGGGTTCTGCACATGTTGCCACAGCTGGCTCTTCTCGCATGCGCTGACTTTGGGGCAGTAGTTGATGATGACCGTCCCCAACTTGAGGCGCCACTGCCTGCAGTTTCTCGCACTCCAAGCTGCTAACATTGGGCTCCACTGCCTGCACTTTCTCGCACGCTGTGTGCCAAAATTCTTGATGCCCAAGAAAAGAAGGAAGAAAACATTGTAGCTGACAGCATTCGGCATCCTCTTCACATCTGCTATCATGCGGGTCCTTAGGCCACCACATATCAAGGGACTGCGGAGGGTTCGGGTCTGCTATCGCCTCCCTGATCTCGATTACTATGTACTTAGTCTGCTGCTTGGCCTTGGTCGCCTCGCGCCTTTGGCCGGTGTGCGCCCTCAACCACGCCTCAGTGGCGTCGCGGCGGCGTCGGCGGGCGAGGCGCCTGGCCTTGGTGGGACCGTAGGAGTCGATTTCGGCCTGGCGCAAGAGGTCGGGCCGCCACGCTTTCGGGCGGCCCCCCGAGTCCATCGTTCTTGACGCGACTGGCGAGAACAAGAGCAACGGATGAAAGCAAGGCAAGATGAAAGAGGCAAGATCGAGAGATCAATGAGACTCCATCATTGCGGGCTCAGCCGGCGGCTGGCCGCGCGGGGTCACCCTGCGGGGCGGCGGGCGCGCGCACGGTGGGGGGGCGCCGCGCCCCGTTTCGATTAGGGCAACGCCTCCTCCTCCTCCTCCTCCTCCTCCTCCTCCTCCTCCTCCCCCCAACCTCCAGCCCCTCGTGGCATCGGGGCGCCGAGGCGGACGTGTGACCGCGCGGCCCCGGCCGAGGGAGGCATCTCGGGCGGAAGGGAAGGGCAGGACAGGGAACACGGGGGGGGTACGACATCCCCAGACCCCTTCGAGCAACTCAAAAATCACGACGGGATGTTTTTTTGCCATTTTCGGCATCCGGGGGCACTCGCCGGGCCTCGGGACCGTCAAAAAACGACTCGGGAGGAGGAACCCGTCTTGGGGAATGGGGCGAGACCTCTTGAGATCGACGTTCTGAAAAAAATATCATGACGTCGGGGGTCTGGGAAAAAGGGGAAGGTACGCCATCTGCTCCCTGCAGCTAGTTTCCCAGGGCTCGTTTCGACTCCTACGATTTGAGTCGATTCGATTTCGATGGCCTCCGA